GAAAAGGAGCATCTTATGAATAGTACCATAGAAACATGGTATATTGTCCCAAGCTGTACGTGTCTTCAGGATGCCAACAAAAGGACAATCCTGGATATTAGTTTTACTTAAATAAGGACTTTTTTCCACTTCTTACAATTATTTTTTTAAATATATTTTATTGATTTTTTTTACAGAGAGGAAGGGAGAGGGATAAAGAGTTAGAAACATTGATGAGAGAGAAACATCGATCAGGTGCCTCCCGCACACCCCTGACTGGGGATGTGCCTGCAACCAAAGTGACCAGAATCAAACCTGGGACCCTTCAATCCGCAGGCTGACGCTCTATCCACTGAGCCAAACCGGTTGGGGCACAATTAGTTTTTTTAAATGCAGAGCTCTTAAGGAAGAGTTCCAGAGAACAAAGCAGAGTTTTGGTAAGAAATATCCAAGGTTGTGACATATTCTTTCATGTGATGGCTTCTTGCTTGAACTGTCAAAATAGCAAAATAACATTTTTAGCAAATATAATTATACAGGCAAAGATATGTACAATTAAAATTCTTACTTTCCCAACTCTTTCTGAGTAAATGAATTAAACAAAGTGCCTCAAAGTGAAAAGGTAACATTTAAAGTCAGTGTTTCCCATAGCTATAGAACCAAGCCTTTTTCAATCAGATTTCCAACTATTTACTTGCAACAAAATTAAAGAAGACCCTACAGAGTTGTTGATTAGCAGGTCATTAAAAATAATCTTTAATGATAGAACACTATGTATTTATTAGTATTTAATTCAGGAGGAGAACTGAGTGACACCATAGCAAAATTCCTTCCAGGCATATCTACTATTTATATGAACATATTTTCTCATGCTTATGTCTGTAGAACCAAAAAATAAGCTTAAGTGATGCTGAATCTTGTCTCATTCTAAAAACAAGAATTATTAATTATGGATATAGGAATTAATGGGGGAAGGGAACCATCTACCTAATTAAAGAAGCATTTCTGGAAAGACTTTACTTTGTATATTTAACTAGAGGCCTGATGCACAAAATTCATGCAAGAGTAGGGCTTCAGGCAGCTGCCTGGATCCCTCCCTCGCAACCATGGTGGCTGCAGCTCTGGCTTAGTCTGGGAGGACATCTGGTCTAATTAGCATATTATGCTTTTATTATTATAGATAATTACTTATCAAACTATGTAGTCTTTATGAGCCACTGTCCTAGAGAGGAGTCCTCCAGTCTCTTGTTGGGAGGTAAAGCACCTGCTGATAGCATGCTGGAAGTGCGCTGGGAAAGGGGGCTGGAGGTCTCAGCAGCACTTGTTGCACTTGGTGTTGGTCCTAGTCCCCACTCCCTGGCACCTGTAAGTGTGAAACTTCTCTGACTTTCCTTCCAGGGCTTCTGTGGAGCGTAGGCCTATCTTGTGCTAGAATCTGGGAGAAGCAGACACCTGGGGTCTCCCGTTCCTGGTTCTTTTCAAATTCTTCACCTCACCTATTCCCCATGTCTATACTGAATCCATCCTCTCCTGTCTGGTTTTTAGCATCTTTGTTCTTTTTGCTTGCCACTTTGGTATTGTGACTCTGTTCTGGTCCAGTATATGTCTGTCTTGGCCCTACACATAACCTGCTCCTTCTACTGGGTGTCTTTGAACCCTAAAGCACGTACCCAGCCTAGAAGGTCCCCCTATTCCCTTGCTTCAAATGTCTGACCAAATCTTCCCTTTCCTGGAAGCCTTCCCTCACTAGACCCCTCCACTCTGCTATTTCAGTTACCCTGCCCTAAATAAACCCAGGTCTTTGAATGCACTGCACTTCCCCTTCTCTGTCTTGGCACACACTCTGCCCTCTGCTCCATGCCCTATCCAACTCATTCTATGTGACTTGGCTCAGGCATCATCATCTTTGGGTAGCCTTCCCTGCTCTCCTAGTCTGGGCAAGGTGGCCCCCCATTCCTTCCAGTAGCACACTGGACTCTTCCTGTCGCAGCACATATGGCGCTCTATTGCAATGGCCCATTTACTGGTCAGTTTTCACCAGTACGCTGTCCTGCTAGAGAACAGGACTGAGGCTCAGTGATCTAATGTCCCCCACATCTCACAGGGTCTGGCAACTAGCAGGTCCTCGATAATTATAAAATAAAGAAATGAGCCCAGCTGGTGTGACTCCAAGCTTTGACCCATGAACCAGGAGATCATGGTTAGATTCCCTGTCAGAGCACTTGTACAGGTTGCTGGCTCAACCCCCAGTAGGGGACGTGCAGGAGGGAGCTGATCAATGATTCTCTTTCATCATTGATGTTTCTCTCTCCCTCTCCCTTCCTCTCTGATATCAATAAAAACATTTTTAAAAAATAAATGAGTGTGTGATTACATTAAAATGGAAAGCCAATCAAAACTATCTGTCCCTGTGTTTTATTCTCATATCCCCTTTTGTGTATATAGCATGATGCCTGGCACTAGAAGTGCTTGTTTTATTAAATCATTGCTATAAAAACAGAAAAAGACAAGAAATAGTTCCCACTTGGAGAAACCCCTAAAGTTCAGTGATAGGTTTACTATTCAATTTTAAATGTTTTCAGGGCCCTCAAAGTAATTTTCATCCAGTCAAGGATCTGTTACCACTCTCTAGGAAATCTCTCACACCTCAGGAAGAACCCAAACACCTCTTCAATCTGCCTTCAAAGCTGATTCAATGGAAAGAGCATAGAGAGTTTATGGGAAAATAAAGCGATAAAGCTTTTCCTTTGTCTCTTACTGGCTCCTATTTATTTAATTTTTTTAGCCACCAAAGACTAACTTTATATATATATAAATATTACAGAGAGGAAGGGAGAGGGATAGAGAGCCAGAAACATCGATGAGAGAGAAACATCGATCAGCTGCCTTCTGCACGCCCCCCACTGGGGATGTGCCCGCAACCAAGGTACATGCCCTTGACCGGAATTGAACCCGGGACCCTTCAGTCCGCAGGCTGACGCTCTATCTACTGAGCCAAACCGGTTCTGGCCAAAGACTAACTTTTAAGATCGGTCGAGATTCAAGATCCAATGTACTCATAAACTCAGTTGCAAAAAAATATTTTTCTTGCATTCATTTTTGATTATTCTTGAATTTACTTTTGAGTCTGCAAACTACACAAAATATAAAAACTCAGCCTTCAGTAAGCTGGGGTCTATAGCCCCTTGCTCCCAGGTTTGCATATAAATTCCAGGGAAGCTTGTATAATACCACAGTGTCATCTGTCTATGCTGATCATATGCTGAGATGCCTGGTCCACACAGTTTGCTGTCCACCTCTCACTTGTTCCTATCAGCATGGCCCCTTTGGTCCGGCTTTTTCTGTCTTAGTTCTTTAGACAAAGGCAAATCACTCTGCTGCTGCCATGGTATGCTAGAGCCTGGGGACCTCCTCTGGAGGTTGCTAAGACCCCTTCATCTGGATGGGTCAGCCATTTGGACTCGGTTTAGCTGGTGGTTCTCCGGGTCTCACCTGGAGTCGTCCATGTACCTGCAGTCACCACGCAGCCTCATTCACATGGCTGGCAGGCAGTGCCGAACTTTGCCTGAACTCTCCCCGTGTGTTCTCTCATTCTCAAGGAGGCCCGCCCAGCTTTGCATGGTGGTCTCAAGTAGCAAGAAATGGACAAATCCTAAGGCACAAGCACTGTTCCAGCCTCTGCTCGTGTCATGTTTGCTATTAGCCAAAGAAGGATTCAAGGAGGTAAAAATAAAAAATAAAAATACTCCATCTCCTGATGGGAGGAGCAGCAAAGTCACATTGCAAAGGGGCATGCATACAAGGATGGGAGGGCACTGTGGGCATTTTTTTTTTTTTTTGCAACCTATCACAGTGGTTTTATTCATTCACTCATTTAGTTGCCAATGTTTCAAAATTGGAGCTTCATGTAAGTCTTCTCTGGGAAAATCACCTAGCCTACTTAACCCATTTATATTTCCTGCCTGGTCTGTTGCACTTGAGTTTGTAATAATAAAGCCTGGCTTACAAGATTTTTTTGTGTGAAATTAAATGAGGTAATGTCTGTGGGGAAATCTGGCAAGAGGATGCATTCAATATATGGTTTCTTCCTTCCTGAATACAAGTAGCCACAAAGTTGATACCTGACCATGGCTAAGGAGAATAGCCAAGATGAAGGACAAGGAAGCCATGGAAAAAGTGACTGGAAAGTAATCCCTTGGGCTGTTTTCAAAGAAATAAAGGCATGAAGAAACAAGATTCTTAAAGAATTTATACGAATTTAAGGAATTGAGGGAACAGTAGTAAACATCTCAGTTTGCTTTGCTTCGAAAGCTCTGAATAACTCACCCAGCTCATCCTTAGGAGGCACCTGCTGAGAGCTGTCTAGACCCGGTCCCTATGTGTAAATACCTGTGCCAGAGCATAATTCGTCTTCTCACTGGTCTCCAGAGAGTGACACTTCCCTATTCCTTCCTGTCCTGAGTCAGGACTGAGTAGAGAAGTCTCTGCCACACACAGCAGGCACTAACTACTTCAGTTCCTTTCCTAGAGAGCTTTAAATTCTCTGCCTTCAGACCCTGGCTGGGTGGCTCAGTTGGTTGGAGCATTGTCCTTACACCAAAAGGTCATGGGCTCAATTTCTGGTCAGGGCACATACCCAGGTTGCAGGTTCAATCCCTGGTCAGGCTTGTGTGGGAGACAACCAATCGATGTCTCACTCTCACATCGATGTTTCTCTCACTCTTCCCCCGTCTCTATAATAAACTTTTTTAAAAAAATAGTCAAAGCCAAATCTGGGCCAAATCAAAAAATACAAATAAAAAATAAAAGCATGTCTTTGTGTGAGGATTAAAAAAAAATTCTCTGCCTTTGGTAATAAGCCTTTAAAAAAAAATGGAACAAATAATTAGTCAATCTTTACCTCAGGTGAAGAGGAGACAGGCCTCTGAAGACTCTTCCAGAAACAGTCTGGGGTCAGTAAACAAATGCAATTGTGTAAGCAGTTAGTGGAAAATAAGCTTGCTGGACTTTCCTCCTGCTTTACCAGTTAGGCAACTCTGTGGTCAGTTTGAGCGACCTGCTGACCAGTGAGTACCGCAAAGTGGTGGGAATAAGAACATTCAGCAAGTGGTTTAAAGAAGAAACAGAAGCATTTGGACTTCATACCCTCTCTGGGCTTGGGTTTCTTGAAATCACCAGGCTTGCAGCAGAAGGAAAATGGCTACACTGCAGGTAAGAAACTACCAGATAACTTTGCTGTGGCTCCTTCAGCCAGAACTTATGGAAGCTTCAGAGAATTCCATAGTGTCAGAGTTAGAAAAGACTTATGCCCTGGCACAAGCTCCCATCTTCAGAGGTTTCACTGTGGTGTCTGTGGGGCTGGGGGCGATGAAGGGGATGAAGGAGAGATGATTTTTAAAAAGGAGAGTTGACACTTTCATCGTTCATTTCAAGTATTGTATTGGGAATCTAGATATCAAAAGGGCTTCTCCCACCACAGACAGACACATGTCTTATTGTTTTTCCCCAGCCTTCCACTCTCCAATACCTTCCTGGTACTGAAGCTTTCTGGACAGCCTCTAGCTGACCAATTACATTTGTTTAATCTATTCAGTCATTTTGAGGCCCACAAACAGCCCTTGGCCAGTAGAAGTTTTAACACTTCCTCTAGGAAATCATTCCTTTTTATCATTTAATGTGCAATTGAATGTGTGGGTTATGTTCAAAGGTAGAGGACACACAGAGAGCCTGCCTGTTCTGGGGTCCAAGACTGCTTCAGCTAAATTCAAGCTGCTACAGGGACAAATTGAGATGCCCCAAGAGGTGGTTGGAGGTATAGATCTGGATCTCAGGGGAGTGGGTAAGGCTAGGAGAATACATATGGGAAATCATCATATCAAAGGTATAGTTGAAGTCTTGGAGGAGTGCATAAAAACTGTGTTTCTTAATGAAAATACTGTGGGGGAGTTCAGCAAAAAATTCAGCAGGGGTTGGAAATATCCTTACCATTTATAAATAAATTATATTTAAAATCCTCCCCTGCTGAAATTTCTAAGCAATTTATTATGCACAGAGCCAGCACACCAATGTAAATTGCATGCTGGTCTTTGTTCTTAGTTTCAAAGGCATTCATCCCAGCCTGCTGTCTAAAGGTTAGCTCTAGAGATCAGGAATCCAAACACAGAAAGCCAGATTGCGTCATTCTAATCAGTAAGCCTTATATATTAAAAAAATATATATTTCTCAGCTCTTATTTCTTCATTTTAATGGACATGTCAACACAAAGCCTCAGATGAAATCACATTTATATAAAAGCAAAACGAGGGGAAGAAAATTCAAAAGATAAAATAAAATTAAATTTAAAATAGACCATACCCTGTGTTCTTAAATAAGTCTTGATTTCCTCTTTTCTAAAATGAAGAGCTCTTTGCTCTGGCCAGTGTCTCAGTAGTTAGAGTGCCGGCCCATGCATTGAAGGGTCACAGGTTCAATTCCCCATCAGGGGTACCTACCTGGGTTGCAGGTTCTATCCCTGGCCCTGGTCAGGGCCCCTGTGGGAGGCAACTGATCAATGTATCTCTCTCCCCTCTCTCTCTCTCTCTCTCGCTCTCTCTCTCTCTCTCCCCCTCCCTCCCTACTCTCTCTAAAAATTAATGAGAAAAATGTCCTTGGGTGAGGATTAACAAAATAATAATAATCTATATATATAAAAGGCTAATATGCAAAGTGTCCCCACGGGAGTTTTACTGAGAAACCGGGAGTTCTATTGCTCGCTATGACGTGCACTGACCACCAGGAAGTGGCGCAGAATGAAAGAAGGCCCCGGCCAGCAGCCAGAAGAAAGGCCTTAACTGGTAGCCGGAAGGCCCCGATTAGTCCTGACCGCCGGCCAGACCTAGGGACACTACCCATGCACTAATTTCATGCACTGGGCCCCTAGTATAATAATAATAACATGAAGTGCTCTTTAACATGCAAACTTTGGGCCCCACCACCAAGTATTTTGATTCACTAGGTTGGGGTCTGCATTTAACAACCTCTGGGGTGATTCTAATGATTAGCTAAAGACAGGTCCCACTGGTCTACATAATTATTATTTCTGCTGTAACAAATTACTGTAAATGTAGTGGCTTCAAACTGCACATGTATTCTCTTATAGTTCTCCAAGTCAGAACTCTGAGATCAGTTTCATTGGGCTAATGTCAAGGTGTTGGTACGCCTGCTTCCTTTTGGAGACTCAAGGGGAGAATCTGTTTCCCTGTCTTTCCCAGATTCCCCAGGTTCCCTACAGTCTGTGGCCTCTCACCATCTTCAAAGCACAGCACTCCAATCTCTGTTCCCATCACATCACCTTTTCATTTTCTTCAGTTAAATCTCCCTCTACCTCCCTCTAGTAAGGACACTTGTGATTACATTTAGGGCACACCCAAAAAATATAGGCTTATTCCACCATCTTAATCCTTACTTAATCACAACTGCAGTATAAGATCTGCAAAAATCATATCTCTTCTGCTATTTAAGGTAACACCTACAAGTTCCAGGGATTAAGATATAAATATCTTTGAGGGTCATTTTCAGCCTACCGCAATTATCTGCAGGTTCCCCTAACGACCTATAGTCTAAGTTCCCAACAGATGAATTAGGAATACTGGACTCCTTAGAGAGTAAAAATGGTAGCTGTAGCTCCATCTCTACCCTGACGTCTCTCTCTCTCTCTCTCTCTCTCTCTCTACTTCATGCCCAGTAAAAGGAAAGGAGGTGCACCATCTGCTTGTCCCATCAGGGTGTTACCAGATCAGAGTCAATAGAAAACAACTCATAAAACCACCCTTGACAAATAAATCATATCCTGGGGACTAGGTGAGAATTAAAAAACTGTATAGTCAGGAGCTGTCAAAGAACTGATGGTATTGAAGTTACATGGAGCTCAGTAATTTGTTCTTTTATTTAGAAGAGATGCATATAATTCTCTTGGAAAGAAATTAAATCATACTTTTATGTTGGATAAAATTATTCAGAAATCTGGACTGAAGAAAACATATAAACACACTTGCTAAATGTTAGACTTTTTTGTATAAGATATATTTGCACATAGTCACTGAATCAGCTGGAGTTGAAGGCTTGGATTTTCATAGCAAATATAAGCAGGGTTGAGATTCGGTCCTTGATCTCAAAGCCCAGGGAAAGCAGCTGCAGAAAATGGGTTCCTTCATTCGGATACCTTCAGCAGCGAGGGACCTGGAATTTTAAAGCTCTAACGAACTCACCTGGCACTTTTCTCTCAGAGGAGTAGGAAAACCAACTGATGTGATAGTGACTCAGCAATTTCCGCCCTCCTCTTCAGTCAGTGCACTACAGAAAAGATTGAGAAAGTGATTCAGAACTCACACCTTTCCAAATCACCAGCTAGCTGTGCTTGCTACTTTCTTTTCCATTTTTTTTTAAAGCAATAGGAAGCAAATGCTTCAGAACTCCATATACTAAATCTCTCTTCCCTTGTTCTGAACATATATAACCGTGGGTTCTGTTCTGAGGCCAGCAGTTGTGAAGAAGGGAGAAGACCCCGTGCTGGCCAGATAGATGGGCTGCATTCCCCCGCACTCACACCCTCTTGCCTTGCTTGCTGAGAGAAACAATGAGGCGGCTGAACAAAGTAAAGACACTATGACCCTCAGTGACTTCAGGCACAGATTGGTCTCAATTCCATTTCACAGAATTTAGGGTCATTACCATTTCTCAGCAGCTCACATTCCATCCTGTTCATGGTGAGCATGAGGTGCCTTTAGAGAGAAGAAAATTGTGCTCAGTGGAGAGTCAGAATGCTGGATGGTCTCTGCTGTTTCCCCAAAGAAATCATTCCAAGCTGCATGCCGCTGCTGTTAACCAATCTGTATATAATAGAACTCGATGTTTTTAGTGCTGATAGATTTTCATATAAAAAAAATTGCGTCTGGAGGCAAAAAGAAGAATTTCACTTCCATTGCTTTCTAGGTCATAACATTTCACATTTGATGTTCCTTTCCAAATATAGACAGCTGCTGGCCTGCTCATCGCTCACACATGCAGGCGCGTTGCATCAAGCTCATCCTTCTCCGTGCTGCTGAGCGCTCTAGAGGACTGGCCCTCCACCCACTTACATCCTTCTTATCTTATGTCTCTTAAAGGCATGTGCTCAGATGGTGGCATTTCCCTCCCTGAGCAAGGCTGCACTTTCATCCTGGGCTAAAATTAAGTACATTTATTAGGAACAGCTGGGGTGGGGGTGGGGAATGGCCATTTGTTTTGATGGGTTTTTTTGTGTTTTTTTTAAAATATATTTTATTGATTTTTTACAGAGAGGAAGGGAGAGAGATAGAGAGTCAGAAACATCGATGAGAGAGAAACATCGATCAGCCGCCTCCTGCACATCCCCCACTGGGGATGTGCCCGCAACCCAGGTACATGCCCTTGACCGGAATCGAACCTGGGACCTTTCAGTCCGCAGGCCAATGCTCTATCCACTGAGCCAAACCGGTTTCGGCTGTTTTGATGTTTAAGTTAGAAAAAAAGGGGGTTCTAATCTCACTTTAACAGCATACATATATTCTTAGGATAGGATCTAAGTGACAACTAAATCAAACAATAAATATCTACTGAGTACCTTCTATAAACCAGGCACAGGGCATATGGAGATACATAAGAATGTTGTAGTCTCAGACTTCATGGGACTTATGGACTGATGGAGGAGTCAGACAGCGAAGAACTCATAGCTGTGTTAAGGGTTGTAACAATGAGCTTCATGGGCTCCACAGGCGTTACTTTGTTGAGAAACCAGCTAACTTTATTTTCTCTGGGTATAAACAAATGACAATCAGAATAGACTCCATTTTGTGATGGCAGGCAGATTCTGGTTTTCTACTGAAAACCAGAGGGAGAGGGAGAAAGAGATAGAAATATCAATAATGAGAGAGAATCATTGATTGGCTGCCTCCTGCATGCTCCTGTGGAATCGAGCCTACAACCACGGTAGAATATGCCCTTGACTGGAATCAAACCTTGGACCCTTCAGTCCGCAGGCTGACACTCTATCTACTGAGCCAAACCGGCTAGGGCTTCAAGCTTCATTTTTATAGATGAGTCAGATCATGTCATCTTCTATCTACAGTAAGGCTAATTTTGAGAGCTTCCTCTCAAGAATATTGCTATCAGAATGGATCCATGCGCCTATTTACAGTTGCTTGTTTCAGAGTATGAATGGGGAGTGGAGCTCCCCAAACCCAAGGAGGTTGCCATTTAGGCCCAGCAATATCCTATTAATCTGGAGAGGGTGATGCATGAGCCTTCTACCCTATTAGGGAATCCTTCATGGAACCAGAATTAAAGAACCTGTCCTTAGAGTAGAATAATTAAGAACAAGCCCATAAATTTACTAAGTATAGCGAAGGGTGGAGAGTCTATGTCAGTGATGGCGAGCCTATGACACGAGTGTCAGAGTTGACCCGCGAACTCATTTTTTGGCTGATTTTTCTTTGTTAAATGGCATTTAAATATATAAAATAAATATCAAAAATATAAATATTTGTTTTACTATGGTTGCAAATATCAAAAAATTTCTATATGTGACACAGCACCAGAGTTAAGTTAGGGTTTTTCAAAATGCTGACACGCCGTGCTCAAAAGGTTCGCCATCACTGGTCTATGTCATCCAGCATTCTTCTTCCAACTCATTGGTAGTCTTTAAAATTCACACAGAATCTATTATCTTTCCTAAATGCTTCATATGTCAAGACATAGCAAAAATATTATGTATGGAAAAATCATACACAAAGACATGTTCATGTAGAAACTCTTACCTTTGTAGACTGTAGGTGTTGTGAAATGCTCTTTAAGTCCCATTAATGGTGGTCTTTGTGCTTTTGTCACATGCAGTACATTTCTGGATTCGGGAACGAATGTGCCTCAGAGGACCCCCGATGCCCTGGTGCACTGCCAGAAGGACAGGTACGAGTAAATAGAATATTAGATTAGAAAGTTCTGAATTATAGGAATGAATGACCAGCTTTCAGGCCAAGCACCTCTACCCACTGTAGCTCTCATAATTCAGCCTGTGAAGTTTTACAATCTTTCAGACAATTAAAATACAGAACAATGACAACACAAAGATTAAAGTTGGATGATAGTTATTTTATGGCAAAACACTAAACTCAAAGTAAGAAGACTAACTGTAGGATTTTCAGTAAGATTTCCTAGGTCCAAGGCTAAGGGAACTTTTTTTTATATTCCCTTGAACAGCATCAGATATAACAATGATGACAAAATAATCAGAATTTTATGCACAAAGATGTTCACACTAGTGTTGATTACAATAGTAAAAATATGGCAAACCATTTTTCAAAAAAAAATTGAAGTATATTTTATGGCATAAGAAAATACTCATCATATAGTGTTTCCTCTTTTTAAAGGTCCCAATTGTTACAGAACTATACATATCATAATATCCCCATTTTGGAGGATTAGAATGGAAGGAAATACACCAATATGACTACATTGGGTTATTTCTTGACTGTGACATAATAGGTTATATTTTATAAATTTTCTACAATAGGCATGTGTTACTTTTCTAATAAAGGGAAAGTCACCTAAAAAATTATTACAAAAAGTATATATGGGTTGGGGATGGTCATATGTAGTGCCCAGTGCATCCCCCATTCAGGATAGAATCCTCTCACAAGTTGCATGGTGGGAAGGTAGGATGCATTTCTGATTGAAGTGATGCTATTTATTGCCTTCTTTGTTTTAGAACAATCCTCAAGTTTGTCCCTACAATCTGTATGCTGAGCAGCTCTCGGGATCAGCTTTTACTTGTCCAAGGAGCACCAATAAGAGAAGGTATGAGGATTAAGTTTATTCTGACCTGCAGACTGTGGGAGCTATAACTACTACTTAGTGTTGCCTCCTACACCTGGGCCACAGCCTCATAGGGCTGCCCAAGGTCCTCCTTCTCACAGACTGTGCCCAGGATCATAGGCCTTGCCTCCAGCTAGAATCAAGTGACCGGTGGATGAAGCTGAGAGAACAGCAGCACCGAGCCCGGAAACACACATCCACTTCCATTTACAAATTCTCACTTTTACTCAGAAGAAAATGTTCCCAATAGTCTGGCCTTCCCTAAGGATTGTCCAATTGAGTTTTGGATTTTGGTTTACTTGTTTGTTTTGTTTTTTATAATGATTACCTCAAAATTATAGAAGACTCAGCACCATATCTTCCTCGGCTGACTGTTCTTTGCATGAAAAGGTTGGATAATCCAAGCTTGAGTATTTGAAAGGTCATGTATTACAGCCCCTTGTGGTTTGAATTAATAAGGTTTCTACTCTTTGGAATTTGCCTTTGCTGGAAACCAACATATTCATTGGCACAAGGTGTCATATTCCATGTTTGCTCGAATCCTATAAACCAGGCCAATGAACTCGCTCCCTTAACTCCTAAGGGACAGGTTAGATGCAGTAGTTGTGGTTTGGGGAGGCAGTAAGTATTTTGATTTAAACATGTCGTGTCTAAATGTAGGCATTTCAGGCTAGGGCGCCTGTGAGGAGGTCTGCCATTGGTATTGGAGATTTAGAGCAGCAGCAGGAGGTCTCGTACTGCTTAGTGGAAGGGACTAGGTGTCTCTCCACGAAGTTCTCCTGAGAAGCAAATAAGACAGGGAGTACAGAAGCAGGATGGACCACACAAAAGATAGATGGTTCCCCTTAGTGGTTAATCATGCCCACTCTGGGGTCAGGCACCCTGGGTTTCAATCCTGGCTTCTTCTCTTTGCAGCTATGTGAACTTGGGCAAGTCATCTACACTCTTAGAGCCTCAGGTTCCTCACTTGTCAAAAAGATAATAGTAGTACCTATTTCATAGTTGTCATGAAGATTAAGGAAAGAAGGTATGTAAAGTGCTTAGCACATTGCCTGGCACATGATTGGTGCTCAATTAACATTAATTATGATAATCATCATTATTGCCACCATGGCAGAGTTTCTTCCTCCAATACAGAATATCTATCCCTAAGAGGCTATCAGAGAACTGAGTGTGAGATATGGCAGGTACTAGGGTACTATGTCAATATCAAATGGCTTCTCTCTCAATAGATATGTGCACGGGGGGGAGGATGAAATAGTTTCCCATACTTGTGAAAAATCAGGGGTTAATTCTATTATGATTTAATCATCTCTCTCTGTGCAAACCCAATAATCAAGGTAAGGTAAACATAGATAATTCCTGTCCATTCCCATGTATAACAACTTGACCTCCATGACTATGTTCTTGACTTAATGTCGTATTCACTAATGGGACACCTGGATTCTGGATTCTGCTGCCTGCCCCCATTATTCAGCAATATCTTCAGCCAGCAGGAGCTAAGCTCTGATCCAGGAGGCTGAAAATGAGCGGTTGGCATTTCATTAAGAAGCTGGCATCATTCCCTGAATCAGAATTAAATCTCTGTCCTGGGCAATGTATTGCTGCTTGGGGATTTTTATAAACTCAGCTAAAAAACAAGGGATCCTAGGCACGGCTCACCCATCTGTTTAGAACTCTTTAAAGATAGCCACATGAATTTTGTGAAAATGATCAAAATCCCCAATGGGAAGAAGGAACCAATCCCATCCATAGGTGAGTAAGCCTAGCATTCTTATAGTCACCACGTGTTTAAGTCACAGAGTGCAGTGCAGAGCCCCCGCAAAACTTATCGACCAAGGATTGATTTTTATAATATTAATTAACTGACTCCTTAAGTCATGAGAAAGTAAGAGTCAGGACAGGGAATGTGGAAAATTTGGACCATCATAAAAATCCAGCTGATTAGGAGTTGACATACAATTCAACATGAATCTAATAATTGAGTACCTACTCTGCACCAGGCACTCTAGGTACATAAATTCTGAATCCTCACAACAATCCTAGGAGATAAGGATGAGAAACACAAGGTCGAGAAAGTGTCTTAACTTGCCCATGATCACACAGTTGGTTCTAGATACACTCACACTCTCAACTCCATAGACTATTAGAAGCTGGAGAAGCTTCGTTTTTTCATGCCCTAAAAGTCTAAGGTCTGGGGGTTACATCATCTAGAGCTGGAGAAATCAAATGGAAACTGAATAAATCTAGCCTTTTAATCTAATGGTTCAGTGTCCTGTCAGGCTAACTCCACCCCCACCCCAACCCCCGCTCTGAAATAGACTGTCCTAGGGCTTGAAGGACCAGAGCCTGTTCAAGCTTCTCTGGTCTCCCATTGTCAGAAGTAGTATTCTTCTTCCTTTTGTGCTCTGTCAGGGTAATGGCCTCTGAAAGGACTTTGTTCCATTTTAGTGAGTTTCAGTGTCCCTCTCCACTTCTGGAGTTTGTCCTCTAGGTGTCCTTCAAAGTTTCTTCATCAGAGTCTTCTTTTCCTCCTCAAGCCTGAGATCTGGGTCCTGACAGGAAGATCTTTGGCTCAGGCCTTGACATAGACAGATAAAATCTGGAAGGAAGGAAGGAAGGAAGGAAGGAAGGAAGGAAGGAAGGAAGGCAGGAAGGAATGAAGGAAAGAAAGGATGGAAAGAAAGAAAGGATGGAAGGAAAGAAAGGATGGAAGGAAAGAAAGGAAGGGAGGGAAGAAAGTACCATAGATGTACTATAAGAAAGTAAGAACAGATAGTCTTACAATTTTGGAATACAGAAGTGTTAATTTCCTAAACTTCTTATAAATTAATATTAAAAAGACAAATAACCCGATAGAAAAATTATAAAGGACTTTTATAAGAAATTCATAGAAAAATTACAAAGATTCAATAAACATACAGACTCTCAATCTTATTCATAATAAAGGAAATACAAAATGAAAATGAAATTTTTTAACCTGCAAGGGCAAAATTATTCATAATAACCTATATTTGTGAAGATGTGGGTGATTAGACACTTTCACATATTTTTGTTGTGAGAATAAAGTGTTACAATGACTTGGCAATTTTGTTCATATATGCATTGGGCATATCCGAGAGGATAGACAAGAAAATTGTGGAGCTCTGATGCCTCTGAGGATTGCCTCTGAAGGAGAAAGCCATTTACCTTTCAGGACTTTTTAAATTATGTGAATTATTTTTTCCACTGACATGTATTACTCTTTATAATTTTAAAGAATACAATTTATTTACATATCAAAAACAAAGAAACCACCCATATCTTCCAATCTACAAAGGATTCATTGTCCTCACCTTCCAGAGCAAGGACTGGTATTTAATGGCATATATAAACTAATGTTTTTCTATGGATTTTCCTGCACAGATGTCCTTCAAGGTATTTCCTTTTCCTTTACAGTTGTCATTGGGAAAGACAATTCTTCATTTTTGGTCAGTATGGGAATAACTGGGGGCCAGAGCTTTAATGTGAAGAGTACAGGTAGAGTAGAAAGGTGAGAAGACACCAAGGTAATGGGCAGCAGTGGCTATTAAGGAGTGATGCTGTGTCATTGTTTTCACATTAAAGTGCATAGATCATTGTTCACCCGTGTGCGTTCCTGAGAGTACTTCCTGAGCCAGTCTGTATGTCACAACATCTCCCTAAGACATGTGTCCTTGCTTCCTCCCAGCTGGCTGTATAGGATTCTACCTTCAGTTTCTCACAAGCCCTTTGAATCCACTGACCAAGGCCATGTCACTAACAACTGGGATGAAGTTGATCCTGATCCTAACCAGGTAACCAGGTTCTGTGAATTGGAACTTGCCATGTATCCAAAGCCTTGAATATTAATATTTAAGTCACTCCTGGGTCTTTGAGAAATTAGACAGTGTTTTTTAAAATAAATATTAAGCTGTATCTTTTGTTTTACTCAAACTTGGGTAGGAATTTTGGATTTGATTGATTGTGTGCGTGTGCGCGTGTGCGCGTGTGCGTGTGCGTGTGCATGTGCGTGTGTGTGTGAGCTTGTGTTTTTCTAGCCTAATGGTGACTAGGTAGGCACAGAAGTGGTTCAAACTCGGCAGGACTGCCAAGGTGAGTTGGTTGAACGGAAATTATACAGGCTAGTGAAAATATCTTCATGTCCATAGATTAGTTGGTTTGTTTTACTCTAAACTTACCGCAGAATATAAAAAACACATTCAACACTCACATAGCTGGAAGAAAGGCCTCTGGCGAAGGGATGGGAGACTCGTCTGAGCTGGAGTCTGTAAGTTTACTGTGGTGACAGGCTGCTGTCACATTCTCTGCAGACCTAGGGGATTCCATTTCTTGCGAAGCTTCCTTTTGTTTGAGTGACCAGAGGGCTTTTCTTCTGGGCATCAGTATTTACTCTGCTTTCAGAATGAGACAGACCCAATGCTACAATGGACTGAGCTATATATTATTTTTTTTACCTTCTGAGACCCCCAGTGTATCCCCTTTGTCCCTGAGCTTAATTAGGTACATGTCACTGAGAGCAGCTATATAGTGCAGGAAGAAAAACAGGCCTGTGTTTGCATCCCTGTTGCTCTACTACCCGCTGTGTCTTTGAGCCGTGGCATTTTACCCGTAAATTGGCATGATAAGCTGCTGTGCGGTGCTCTTGTGAAGATTATGTAAGAGAACAGGTGTGAACGTGCTTCAAACAGTGCCTGGCACACAGGAAAGAGGTGAGAACCTTGATTCTGATACAGCCATTCGACATATTCACTTAAAGGCAGCGGTAGTGCATATAATTGCAGAAATTGTATTCAGGTAAATTTGTTTTTTCCTTTCCTATTATTTTTTATTCTGAGGTCCTGTCTGCCAAACTGGCAAAAGACAATTTCATCTCTGTCTTGACTTGGAATTGCTGGTCTTAAAAGATGCCAAAGTAGGAGTGGGGGTCGGGCCTTGCTGGTTGGTCCTTCTCACTGGGTAGTGTTGAGACACCCACTGTTCTGCTGCTATCTTGCCAGGTTTAGGCATGGAATCATCTGCAAGGCCACTCTGGTCCTGTTGTACTGGATATGCCTCAGAGCCATTCCCTCCTCTGGGAGTTCCCAGGTCACAGATTCAAGAACCACCCCTCCCACCAGTCGGTATCCAAAGTCCACACAGAACAAGAAGCCTTTCTCTCTCCTTCCCCATCTCCCACCCCTTTCCAAAGCCCAAGAAAAATCTGCTGCCTCCTCTTGATTTACCAAAACATTATGTCTATACCTACAAATACCTCCCCCACGAAATGCTTCAATTTTTTTATAGATCCAGAATAATTCATAGTCACTTTTGGTTTCCTGCTCTGCTCCATCTCTTCTCTAATTATGGAAACCTCAGAGAATTAAGTACTGAATGATACTCCCCTCCAGCAAGGGCAGAAAAGGGATTCAGAGTGGGGGGAAATATGAGTTAACAACTTCAAATATTATCCACCTCACAACCATCCCAAAACCAGGATATTTTGTCTGAACTTTCACTTGTGTGGAATGTAATGCATGAAGCAGACATCCTTCTCAGTTGACCACTGGCCTGTATATTGCGTATTGGCCTTTGAGCATATTGGAACAAGTCAGGCCCTGCTCCAACCTCTAACCCCACAGACACGGTCCCCTGCCAAGACAAAAGGTTGGGCTTTCAGCTCCTGCCCCTTCCCCTTCTGCTGGTCAGGGCCCTTGTGTGGGGGACAATTTGTACAACCAACCTGGGGACTTGGTCTTCACTTCATCCTTGAGCCTCACCTGGGTTCCTAATCCAATAGTATCTTACCACCTTCTCTCCCACACTCTGGGGTAAGAAATGCATCTGGCATACCAACCTCATTTTATATAAGGTTGAGGTTGGAGAGGAGCTTATTAGCAGTGAAACAACCATTTCACAGAGCGCAGTGGAAAATCCTATATAATAAAAGCAAATATGCTAAGTGTCTGACTGTTTGACTGTTCACCAGTTACTATGATATGCACTGACCACCAGGGGGCAGACACTCCAACTGGTAGGTTAGCTTGCTTTTGGCGTCTAGCAGATTGGGACTGGGCAAGACAGGGTGGCACACACAAAACCATGTATCCTATACTTTATGGATTAGTTAAGGTGGTAATTCTTCTGTGCACTAAATTTGAGAACCATTGAGCTAGATTAAAGGAAGGATTACAGGAAAAGTCAATAAGATGTTTGGGTATTCAAACCATGGCCCCTTAACTATTTAAAAAGGAGTGGTTATTTAATAACTAGGGGTCGAGTGGGGAGTTTCAGTGTCCCTGCCTGCTCAGTCATCCACACCAGTCACTTAAGCCTCTATCACCTTATACAGTGGCTCTCAACCTGTGGGTCACGACCCCTTTGGCGGTCAAACGACCCTTTCACAGGGGTTGCCTAAGACCATCCTGCATATCAGATATTTACATTACGATTCATAACAGTAGCAACATTACAGTTATGAAGTAGCAATAAAAATAATTTTATGGTTGGATCACAACATGAGGAACTGTATTTAAAGGGCCAGAAGGTTGAGAACCACTGCCTTAGTGTCTTCTTAGATTTGATCATGGTTATGTGGGCAACAATGTTGCCCACTTATTTTATATTTTATTTAGGGTAGGGGGGGTAGATTTTAAATCTAGCCTTTAAGGAAAATGTGACTCTACTATGAGTGTGATATGTAATATGTGCAGTATTATCCTTTTATTATATATCTTTATTTCTATGACTACTATTGTCACATTTTATTTAACATAAATATATCCTTTTATAACGATTATTTGGGGAATACAGATAACTTCTCAATGGAAGCTAACCATGTCCTGGTAGAATTTTTTTGGTTTTGTCTTATTATAAAGACAATAGACACTTATAAAAACTCAAATGATGTTAAATTAACAAAATAGGAAATGGAAGTCTCCCACCATAGGTGAGAGGCAAGTATGCCATTTGGGCATGTTAGTTCATTATTTCATAAATTGTTAACATAAATTGAGAGGGAAATTTGAGGCAACTGCATTAAAAAGCATGAGTTAATATGGAGGTATCAAAATAGCTGTATCAAAGGTTTCTGCTTACTTTCTAGTAGGTTCTCAGTACATATTTATTTCCTCCCTGCTACCCGATGTGTCCCATTTAAACCTTTCTTTGCATTTCTCCTTGAACGTGTTACCTTTCCCCATTTTGAATTCCTTCAAACACTTTCTAGATGGTGGCCACCAAATGAATTTCTTCTCCAATATTCCCCCTGCTCATTTTTGACCTGTGCCCACATACTTTGGGATCGATGTTCCCCAGAACTCAACAGTGCCTCTGTCAACACCAGCCCCATCCAGGTAGCAGTTCATCATCTCCCTCCTCTGTGATTCACATCACCTGCCATCCCGTGTCCCTTGCCATGATGCACACACGCTGGCTGTTCTTGCTACATTAATGCTTTTGTCTTTTCATTTACACCTTCTTGACAAGTTAATATCTCTTTCCAATTTGGTGCTTCATTAATAACCACAGCAATTTGCATTCATCACTTTTCCCCCTCATAACCTCTTCTAAATATATATTCCAGACTCCCACCAAGAAAGTCTGAGAAAATTATAGTTAGGTACCTATCTGACAACTCTTCCAGCTGAAGTCTGTGTGGTAGGTATGTCTTCACCTGTCACAGATCAAAGCAAATGATTCATCAGCTCCACCAAGTTCCCATCTTAGTCATCTCTGGGTATTTGAAGATCTGAGAATTACCTAATGTTTTCTCCACGAGAACATCATGGGATATGCTATCATCACTGTTATCTTTTTGATACCCTGCTCAGAAAACTGGGGACTATACCCACAAAACATTCATTTTCTTTTAGTGTTTATTTAATGAATTATTTAAGAATTAATGTAAACTCTTTTTGAGTATATTTAGATTTAGCTTGTGGACATAACAAGTTCAATTCATTAATAACTTAGATAAGAAATATACTTAATTGTGTTCATCATTCACCTTCCTCTAACTTCTGGAACCTCATCATTTAACAAACAAATCTGCATCCAATTTAACTGATTTTACAGATTTCAATTAGCATTCTTGAATCAGTATTCTTCTTGAAGGTCAGAGTCCTTTAAAGTTTATCTTTTTTTTATTACTACATCCCCAACCTCTTGATTGTTGGAAAGTCAGACTCTTGACCCAATTAAGCCTCAGCTGAGGAAACTACCTTTTAGTTCTCAGTATAATTTGAACTAAGTGATAAATTATATCAATGCTAATTAAAGACTACATCATAAAGTTACCTTCCAGGACATGCAAATTATAACAAATGTTTCAAACACTTATCTAATTTGTCAGACTGTTCAGGTCTCACAATCCTAAAAGCCTCTTTCCTCCAAAACTTCTTGGGTTCTCCACCTCTTTAAGTCTTTAACCCTTTGTAATTCATCCGGCCCTGACTGATCTATTGAAACTATTTACACTTCTTTAAACAACATTAATGCACCCCCCATTATTAATATATGTTTTTATTTAAGACTTATATAAAAGTGTCAATGCCCAATAATCCCACCAGTGCAAAGTTAACAACTTCTAATGCTTTGGTTTCTTTCCAGTCTTGTTCTTTGTACATAAATGTTATTTAAATAAATGAGGTCCAGGATCCCATGCAGCCGGAGACCAAAAACAATTGAAAATAACTTCAAGCTTCACTTGTTTCTCCTGAAAAAAAAAACAAGAAGACCCACTATATGTCCCACAACATAACTTTTTAAAATCTCCTTTCCCCAGTTTTTCCCAGACTCCAGCTCTCTCACACTCTGA